CAGTGCCTTTTTTAAGGAATTTTCACTGAGGGGGCAAAACAGGAAAAAAGGCAGAACGAAAAATATGAGCCGTCGAGGTTTGGCGAACGCGCGAGTCTGAAGAGAGATTTTGTAAAACTTTAATTTATTAACTTCAGCTATATTTTACTTTAAACAATAACTTCAACTCTTTGTAGCTATAGTGGTACAGCTATAACCAGTGGCGTATAACCGACCGTCTAGGAGGGTCCGAAAAATTTTGAAATCTTGGGCCCCTGAATTGCGGTTTCATGCATTTTGGGGGTGAAATCTAGCAGAATTCCGAAGATTATAAAGTACATCGAAGACATGAATTTTTCCAGACATTTCTACTCGGAATTAAATAAATTGGAATAAATTCATTTTAGGTTCTATGAGACACAATTTTCGCATTCTCAAAATTGCGTTGCTCTTTTATACGATACAGAAAAGGTCTGACAAGAAATATTCATGCTATGATGATGCATACATGTATTTAACAGTTTAAAATCTAAACTAAATCTATTCTTCTTGGAACCATATCTACAACTGCTTTAACGAGATTTCACAAATCAAGTTCCTCCAGTATATCGTCTTTTTCTTCAGTCGAGACGTACTTAATCAGTTTCAGCTTCGAGCATGTAACGTGTACCCCCCCCCTCCCCAATTTCTCTACGGATTTAGCCTTTCTGAGAAAATGGTTTTTGTGGCGATTGGGGGGCGGCTGTTAATATAACTTGATATTTTTAAGAAAAAAAATTTGCAATAAAACCTCTCAAAACAAAACAAAACACGACGCCTCTGCGGAGGAGAGTGATAGGGAATAGTCGCAAGGCTTGGAAAGGCTAGCATTTTATCGGACTGTTTGCATGAAATCTATCGATATTATGAAATACTCGGTGAAGAACAATATAAATTCCATACAAGATGGTTGTGGAGGAGGCTATGGAAGGGCATAATCTCATTATCAAGTAAATCAACTGCAATTCTGACAGCAATCATGAGCAATTCTGCTTCGCACTTCGGGGGCAGATTTGGCTTTACTGGGGGGGGGGGGAATTCTTTCCCTGGGGGGGCAATTGCCCCCCCAGATATATAGTTAAAAAAGGCACTGAGCTGTTAGGAAAGAGGAGGAGGGTGCAATATCTTGTGATTAAGTGAAATAACAGTAATGTATTCAGATAAATGTGGAAAGTTCCAGCATTTATTTTTGATTCTATTAATTCTTCAATTCGTGTTTTTTGAGGAAAGGACTTGACTTCAAATAAAAGATTCCGATATACCGAACCTGTTTCATGTTGGAGCCACACATACATGATACATGACCTACAGTGTTGTAAGACTCGAGTCTGGACTTGAGAGTATGACTCGGACTTGAACACATCGGACTTGGACTCGATATCAAAGGCATCAAAGAACTCGGACTTGACACCTCTGATTTGGGAATTCAGGTCAAGTCCTGCAAAATTCTACCACTTACAGTGAAAATACAAAAAGTATCCTACTTCCGCTTCTGTAGTTTGTTGTGATTTACTGTAATTTGTTCTGTTTTTCTGTAGCGTTAAAATTACCGGTATGGAATTTAATTGCCACGTACCCGGCGTTAATAAAACAGCACAAGTTGCTCTGTCAGTATAAGCGTTTCAAGCTTAATAGTTCCAAACATCTTTTTTGCGATAAGAATACATGCCAATATGGAAACACTACGTGATTTATTTTTGGGACAAAATTCGACGTGACGTTTAAACGAGCTTTCTGGGCGCAGTGATCAGGGCAAGCTCCATTTAACTCTGAGATTAGGGTTCGACTCATTCATCACTCAGTTTATATGAATTGAAAGGAGTCAGTCAGCGTTCTATCAAAAGTCGCGGGTTTTCTCCGAGTACTTCGGATTTTCCCACAGGGAATGTTGACAAGGTGGGCTGGGAAAGAATCCAAACTAACCCCTTCCACCGTAGCTATATACTCCGTGCATGGTGAGAAATTAGTCATATAAATACGGTGCAACCCATACACAGGCGCCGTTGGTAATCCAATTGGACTGGTCTGAATTCCAACTGCGTCCTTCATAATTTAGCTCTGAGTCAGTTTTCAGCTAAAAGTAAGGATGATCGCACCCCTTACTTACTATAAATATGAAAAATCCACCATATAAAATATATAAAACATATATTTGTAAACATAATTTAGTTTTTACAGAGTGTCTAAATACAGAACTAAAATTTCACATATACTATACATATGAAAATCAGCACGGTCTTTTGCCATGATATATATTCTAATCAATAAAAACTATTCCGATAGGCAGAGTAATCTAATAATCTAAAACACAAATGCATGCGAGTGAGTGTTACTACCTGACGTTAGTCCAGAAGAAGCTAAGAAGCCCAGCCTAGGTCTCAATTGTACCTAGATGCACGAAAGGCACCATTGAATGTCTCTTTCCACAATTTCACGCATGCAGGAAATCATGCCGTTATTCACGCAATGATAGACACGAAACTCAGTGCTCAGTCTGGAAAAATATTGTAATTATAGGCTATTATTACTGCGTTAAATGTAAATGATTTCTTCCTTTCAAGAGAGCACACAAGATATTCGCTTATCTTCATTTTTGGAAAAGTATTTGCAAGGAACATGTCACATGATCTTGCTCTAAAATCAATTAAAAATCTGGAAAAATTTTCATGTTTCATGTATATCATCAACGTGTTTTCCTATATACTATTTACACTTTTTTCTTTTTCTTTTCAATGTACATGCAATGAACGTCTTAATTTCTTGGGGGGAAGCTGTTAATT